CCCACATTTCCAACAATTAGGATCTCTGTAAATGTGGTTTTAATTTGCTTTTCCAAATTAGATATCTCTCATTCATTATTCCATTAGATACACTTTCCAGTGTAAGATTGAATAGAATTTAGTTAATTTGAATTTTATATATTCCTTTCTTTTTATAGTACTATCTGTTGTCATTTCATCTATTTTGAAACATTATTTAAAAGTGCATACGTATTTAGGGTAGTTTTTCCATATTAACAAGCAGAACCTGTTTATAGTCAGGGAATGAGATTATAAATTACTTCTAAAATTTTTGTTGTGCGATTCAATTTTTCTGATGTTAATGTACCCATTCGAGCTTTCTTTGGACTAAATATATTCAATTTCTTTAAAACTCATTTTTATCTATTATAAATGCAAAAGAGTATCTTTTTCGAAGGAAAATTGTAAGGCTTACACTAGCATCAGAAAATTACATCCTGATAAAGTCAATGTTTCAGCTTCATCAGTAATATTTTTTTGAGTTGTACGGGATAATTTCTCTATTTGAGTTTTGTTTACTCCATTAACATTTAATGGGATTATTAATACAATTTCGATGAAATGTGCCATCCCCTTATTTGCGTGTTTTCTTGCCTGTTCTTTTCGTCCTCCTTCGTTTTATTAGTTCTTTAGGTTGAGTATTCTTTATAATTCTATTTGGTATCTTTTGTTGCCTTTTATATAAACTCTATTGTCTCATTTTAGTAATTTAACAGATTTAAAGTATACATATTTAAACTTATAATTTATATCAAGTTGTATCATCTAATCTTGTGCATAGATTAAGGAACTTAAAACAGTATCTTTCGGGCCATCAAACTATTCATTTTAAAAATTTAATTTCTACATATGTTATAAACACCACTATATATTAATATTATTTTTGCTTTAACAGAGAATTATCCATTAGTGACATTTTAGTTTTTAAAATGTCTTTTCATTACCCATTTAGCTGCATTTCAACCTAGCAACTATCTCTTGAGTAGCTGGATTTATAGACATATGCCACTATGAAAAATTTGTTTAAACATTCTTAGTGGCCCAGAATATGTTTTGTCATTAGAAATGTGTTATGTACTTTTGAGAAAGAGTATGTCAAGAATTATGTCTTGACTAAATTGGTTGATTAAACTTTTAAAATATTTTATATGCTTAATTGAGTTTTTTGTTATGTTGCTATTTCAATAAACGTGAATGGTATTAAATTATCCCTAATACTTTTTGCTTTTTCATATTTCATCCTCACTTTTTCATTTTTCTTTAGTTCTGGCAATTTAAGATCATTTATTTTAAAACTCTGTAATATGTTCACTCACTTTTAGGACACTTAAGCCTTGTGATTAAATTCAGTTTAATTATAAAATTCCATTTCTTACCTGAGGTAATATTCCTTGCCCTGAAGTTTTACTTCAGATACAATTCTTATACTATATTGTGTTGTTTATGAATTATCTGTGTATTTATAAATAAAATGTTCCCCATCTATGGAGTACATAGAAGGACTTTTTAAAAGTTTTTCTTTGTCAGTCTCTGTCTTTTATTTGTAAGGTTTTGTTAATTCATTTTAACATGGTGATTAGTTTCATGGGACATTATGCAAATTTAAGTTCAATTTCTTCTCTCAACATTCTTGCATACTATCATGCTCATATATTGTTTGTCATAATCTAAGTACTTTTCCAGATTTATTTGTGGTGACTGGTGCAGTGATTTAAATGTGCACTCCTTCCTCATCACAGCAGTATTGTTGAATTACCATTATATCATGCTACAATGTAAGGATTGACTAGCAGATATATTCCCTTTTATCATTCATAATTTGTGCCATTATCATCATTAATTTTGTTTTTTATGTTTACATATTGTATAATATATCACTGTTACAACATATATATAATATATTCTTTTTAAAATATTATAAATAAAAATAGTATTTTATTTTACCAAAATATTTAATTTCTCCATCATTCATTGCTTTATGTATGTTCATGTGTCTTTCCTTTGAAGATTTTCATATTGCTTTATAATGATGTCATGCTGCTGATGAATTCTCCCAGTTTTGTTTTATATTGCTTTCATTTTGCAAGATACATAAACAATCTTAATTGTAGAGTCTGATTCTGAAAACTTTAAGCATGACATTCTGCTATGTAACAATATTTCTGATGAAAATATAATGAACATGGTTTGTGGACTCCTTTCTCAATGATGATTTTAGGTTTTTCATTGTAAATGATGTTTAGTAATTTTACACAATACATAGGTACTGTTAATGCTACCTTTAACTTTTGCTTGGCATTTGCTGAGATTTCTTATGTGATAAATGGCCTGAAAATTTGAAAAGAAAATAATTTTCATTATGTTTCTAATTGTTTGTTTTAACCCTCACTAATTCCAATTATACATATGTTGTACCACTTGATATTTTTCCAAAATAAGCTGAAATTCTCTTTATTTTTTTTAATTTAGTTGCTGTGTTTAGTTCCTCCTAAACTGTATTTATATGCAAAGATAATTTCTTACATAGTATTCAATCTCCTGATAAAAACATGCTATGAATTTTCAAGTATCATAACAATTAGTGCTAGGAATTTCATTTGGTTACTTTTGCTCTTCAGTTTCCTCATTTTGTTTTATCCATAGCCACTGAAATAATTCAGGTAGTGACTATCAATAACTAATAATACTTTTAAAGAAATTTGACTAGGACATCCATAATAAATGATGAATCTACCAATGAGTTTTAGAATAAAAACCCCAAACCCAAGTAACAAAATGTGGAAAAAAATCTAGGTAATTTAAACCCTCAGTATGTCATGTAATAGTAATTACACAACATTTACTGTGAAAACTTTTGACAAATATTATGCATTGTGTCCAATCAATCCTCTAATAATTTATATGAAGTATACAGGTTAAAGACACATATCAAATCTCTCCACAGAGACACAGTTAAAAAATCAGAATGTGGGAAACATTGTAGGTTGAAAGAAACTTTAAAAATGAAATGAAGAGACCTGTGTTTTTAAAAATGTTATTTAAGAAATGTATTGAAGTGGTGCATGGTTCAAGTGATAGAGCACTTGCCTAGCAAGCATGAGGACCTGACTTCAATTCTCAGTACCAAAAGAAATAAACAAAAAAGAAAAGAACTTATTGAGAAACTACATTTTGTGAATATTTGAATCCTGATTCAATGAAGTTTGATTTTTAATTGGAACACTGGAGTTTTATTTGATATACTAAAGATTTATTCTTAATTTTAGTAATTTTGAACTTTAAAACCTTATAAGTGCACACACATACATAGCATTTATGCTCATGTATGTGTGCTGGGAATGGATACATGATATAACAATTGAAATTTCTTTTACTCTCAGGAATTAGGCATTGTACTGCTCTTCATACTGGGTATGAAGACCAAGTGTTCATTTGACCAAGTGTTCATTTATACTTTTATCTCTAGTTTGAAAGTATGAAAATGTCATAACACAAAAGTCAACAGAGACTGGCATGGTGGCATATGCCTGTATTCTCTGACTTAGGAAGTTGAGGCAGAGGATCAAGAGTTCAAGATCAGTAAATACAACATTAACATAAAATAAAATAAAATTGCCATATTAACGAATGTGGCAAGTACTTTTGTACCAGAGCTTTTGACAATTTCTCCTTTCTTACACAAAATATCTTTCTTGTGAAGGAAGTTATAGAGGCTCATAGTATGACTCTTCACCAGCTATCAAAATACATAATTTCAAAACAGTAGGTACTAGCCAAACTGAAATATTCAACTGAAATATTTAACTGAAAATATTAATTTTCAGCTGAATTTCTTCATTGACTTTCATTAAGTATATTAGTAACAAAAAATATATCTGATAGAAGGAACTATGGAGGAAACACAGAATCCCTGTCTTTTTTCTTAGTTAGGAATCTTTTAAGAATTTTTTCTAACAAGAGCCAAAGATCTAAAAAAACCTTTGAGGAGATGTCTAAATATGCACGCAGAATATTCAAAGCAAGATCATGTAGAAAAACTTCTGGCACTATGTCTTTTTGATGACTACACCATATTAAACTCTTCTGTAGATCTCACCAAATTATTTTCCTCAAGAGAGACAAAAAAATCAATTCAATTTTCTTTTATGAAAGTACTATGGAGATACGGAAAACATAAATCTATTCAATTACCTGTAAGATGAAAATGATCAAGTGTCACAGAGGCAGTTGGTCTGATTGAGCCTCAGGTGAAAGGAAGGTTTAAATGTAAAACTCTCAGGTTTTTGTTGTAGTATTTAAGTACTGGAGGATACAGTTCATATCCATCTTACGAAGTATAAACATACATCATCATTGCATATTTATTGTGTAAAAATACTCTTATTTCTTGGTTAAGATGAGAGAAACCTTGTTCCTATATTTTTCAAATTATAAAATGGTAAATATCTTGCACAGGATTTCTAATCAGAGGATTTTATAGCGTCTGTCTGATTATTAAATCTTTCCAATTTTAAGCAGAACTTTTATTTTGTCTACTTAATTAACTACATAAAATATTATAACTTAGGAAATTAGAAGAGAAACTCATTTCTATTGAGCAAAAAGGAAAGACTGTTATTTTAGTCAGTTGGTTTATGTTGTCCTGGGATAGAAAGAAGAAAGCAAGCACATTAAATAATAATGACTTTAAAAGTCTTTCAATGTCAGCTGTCAATTGCAGAGATTGTTAGAGTAATGCAACCTTAGGCAGATTTACGAAGTGCAGTTTCAAGCAAATTGTGCCTGGGTATAAATTTATAATTATTCCAATCAAATCATTGCTGAGCTACAAAATATAATTAAATGGTTCAAATGGAAGATAAATTAAATGTATACTTTATTCCATTTTCCCAGTTACAGAAGTTACAATTACCTTTCGAATTATGTGAGGAAATACTGTTTCTTAAATGACAGCTTTTGTTTTGTTCCCTGCCCTTTAGGAATATAAAGAATACATAAGAGTAAAAAGATTATAAAAAGGAACACAAGATTTTTGTTTACAACATCCCCTTTCCTTTGAAGAAGAATAGTTGGAACCAAAGAGACATCAGAATGAATTGCTGCTCAGTGCTACCTTTGATGCTGGGAATTCCTCTGCTGTGGCCTGGCCTTATGGAGATAGAAAACGTGGAAACAAAGAATGTTAAGCAAGCAGTTGGGTCTCATTTGAGAGTGAAGCGTGGCTGGGTGTGGAATCAATTTTTTGTGCCAGAGGAGATGAATACCAGTCATCACATTGGAAGGGTACTTATTTCCCAAAAGATTACATTAAAGGACGATGTAACAAAGTTATACACACATGCACACACACACACACACACACACACACACACACAAACACACAAATGCACACATATATAATATACATATATATATGAGTTAGGAAAGTTTTTGTTTCATTAGTTCTACATTTTCTAGTGGAACCATTAGAAATCCACAAACACAAGCAGAATTCATTGCAGATTTGCAAACATCCACTATTTTCTCTTATATGAAAATGGTGCCTTCCTTGATCAGCACTTAGAAATTTAATGTTATTTTTGGTAATAGATCAAAGCAGCCTCACAGAGTCAATATAATTTACCAACAGTATTTAGCCTGATTTTCTGCTATACTAAGTAGTTGCTGATCTACCCTTCATTCATTTTTAATGAAGCAGATTAGTACTATATCTTTTTATAGCTAAGGAATTTCAGAAGCCTACACACTTCATTTGATTAACGAAGTTGAAGTACAAAGAATATTTTTACTTTCTTAAAAGAACTATGTTTTCAGAAATTTTCCTTAATAAGTCAGAATGTCTTATAATTTTGTTTGGGATATTTATTAGTATTTGTTTTTCTGTAAAGACAGGTAAGTGCAATATCACATGCTTTTCTGTAAGGTTCTTTCTCTAGATGAATGTATTAAAATACGTTTAACCACTAATTAACTGATACTAAAATTTAATTGGGCCCAAAGGGTGTAGTACTCAAAATTTATTAAGTATCTTTCTCTAGTCCATGCAGGAGAGCTGCAGAGTTAGCTTGGTGTGTAGGTTCATTGTCATTTACCTGTACTGTCACCAAATGTGTATGAGACTATTCAACAACAGGATCTTAATCAAACTGATTTTAAAATATTTGTATGTGTGTGCACGTGCATGCCTACTACATAAACTATTTCTTATTATTTTTATTTTCAAAGATGTGTGCAGTTAAATCACATACATGGGTGGCATAAATGAGTGTCTTGTTTTGCCTATTCTTTTTATTTATACAAATATTTATAAAATAATTTAACAAATGTCATGCTGTATAACATAAAAATAAATGACTTAAAAGAGAGATACAATGAATGTTTAGGTGCTTATAACAAAAGAATTAGTAGAGGTAAAATGTAGCTAATGTGTCCCAGATAATTCTCTTTTGCTCCATTTGTTTAAAAAGATGAGATTCATAAGTACAGTTAAGTAAGTTTTCAGTGATATTGACTTCCCAAATTGAGAGTAGCTGCTTAACTGAGAAATTATTTTTGGATAGAACTGTAGTGAATTTCCAAATATGTGCTAGAGTTCAGGAGATCAAAATTTGTTTAAAATATGCATTTTGTAACATTATAAGTCCAGTGTTTAAGTTAACATTCTTGAGTACTTTTTTTCCCTTAATCTTGGTCCTTAAAAATGTCAGGCTCATTGTTTTCTGGAAATTGTACATTTATTCATTACTAAGTAATGAACTTATCTTCATGCTAGTCTTGAATAATTTCTCAAACTTCATCAAAATGGCAATATTTGATAATTTGGGCCATGTACTACTTACATGTTCATTGATTGAAACTTATTTAATGCCATCATTTTCTCAGCATCATGACATAGAAAATTCCCTTCACTTCATGAATAATTAAGGACTGTCAAATTTAAAGAGTCATAACCAGAAAATCAACCCAGATACTAGGTTTTGTTTAAATTTCTTCCATTATGTAGTACTGATATTCAATATATTGTTAAAATGATAAAGTAGATGCTTCAGGTATGTTCAGATTTTCTCCACAATAACATACAAAAGATATTAGTTAGTCCAGAAGAGTAAGTCATAACTTGGGTGCCCAGAAATGTTAGAAATTGTGAAATTTGTACTTTCAGAGGTGCTCCTTCTTTGAAGATGGGCATATTCGTGAAAGTGTGAAAGAATTCAAAAGTTCACAATAATGAAGGGATAGTTATGCAAAAACAGGCATTTTTTATGTAAAAATATTTTAGGTACGAAAAACCATGCAAACAATTCAACTATATCAAAATGACACATATTTTTACACATGAATTTTAAAAATTCTAAATAATTCATTAGCACTGTGAATGACGAACAAATTTGCTTTTTATAATATGAAGAAAACATGAGAGTTAAGTAGATGGTGTTGTAAAAAAACAGTTTATATTTTCTAGCTAAAAATCAAAGTCTAAAACCATGTTACATAATTGTCATTAGGGGAGGATCTGGGATTAGACAAGCTGTGTTCTAAGTCATAAAGCTACACAAAAATCATGTGACTATGAAAAGTTTTAAAATTTTTTCAGCTTTTCACTATAGAAAGGATTGATTATGTTAGTAATATGTATCTTATAATGTTATGATTATTTATGAAAATTAGTATAACACAATTTGTACATTTTAACACATATAACAAATTCCTACTAGGTGATTAGCATAAATATTTTCTCATATGTTCTTTAATTTTCATCCTAATTTTCCATGTTTTCTATCTATATTTTCAACAAAGATGCAGGATACCATTCTTAAATATACTGAGATGATCATTGCCCAAGCTTTCTCTAGTTCCCAAACTCATGCACATATTTGAGAGTACAGTTTTAGTGAATAAGAATGTAATCACAAAACACATTTGAGCCAACACATGGCACATATCACAAATATGTGTGATTAATTAAGGGGACTGTGTTTTTCAATTGCTATCCTTTCTCATTAGAATTGTCTGTTGAGACTAATAAAACTTTGTAATTCATTATGTTCAAAATTAATACTTCTCAGTCTGATGAGAGAAATTAATTTTGAAATTCATATTTTGCCTCTCATAATATAGGAATTGCATAGAATTATTATTATGGGGAATAATTAACATACATGCAAATAACATCTTTAAAAGTGATTTATCTTTTTCAGCCTATGGGAAGCTCAATTGTCTGTCTTTGCCCTTGCAGCTCAGGTCTGATCTAGACAATGGAAACAATTCTTTCCAGTACAAGCTTTCAGGACCTGGAGCCGGAAGCATTTTTGTCATTGATGAAAGAACAGGTGACATATATGCCAAACAGAAGCTTGATAGAGAGGAGCGGTCCCTGTACACCCTGAGAGCCCAGGTAACAGACATCACTACTGGAAGGGCTGTGGAACCTGAGTCTGAGTTTGTCATCAGAGTTTCGGATATCAATGACAATGAACCAAAATTCCTAGATGAACCTTATGAGGCCATTGTACCAGAGATGTCTCCAGAAGGTATTAAATATTAATTTACATCAAAGATATATTAGCAATGACAACAGATTTTGAATTTTGAACATATGTTTTGGAAGTGGATTATTTTAAATTCTATACCTAGTATTTCCTTCTACAAACTTGTTTAAGTAAAATATTTCAAAGTTAGATACTGCAGTAAAATTATGTAACAATGGCATTATACATTTACAAATCGTTATTAAGTTTCATATCAGTCTTGAAGGAAGTAAAAAGCTAATGTATATTTAGTTGAATAATTCATAAAATTGAGCAAGATTTGTACACAGAAATACAGAAAGCCAATTTATAAAGCAGAAGTATTATATGAATCAAAAACCAAAAGTAAAACAAAGTGGTTGGACACCTTTGTGCAGCTGTATTCATTTCAAGTTCATTTTCAAATGCATCTTTATAGTTATTAATGTATTTTAATATAACATGTAGAGGAGAGTGACTTCTATAGGTTATAAGAATGACTGCCTTGGATATCAAAAATGTCTTCATAATAGGGAGAGTTATGGTTATGCAAAAGTCCTCCTCTCATTCAGTTGGTCAAAAACTTTGATAGTATAAGACAGCAGGCTTTAATATATGAATTTCTTAACTTGAAAAATCAAGCTATTCAGTAATATCACCTAAAATTAGACAGACATGATTTAAAAGTGCTTTACCTAAATATTTAATTCACAATGTAGTGATTCTAAAAATACATATGTCATCATGTTCTGCATGATTTTTCATTTTTAATGTCCCATGGGGATTTGAAGATGTCAATCTACATTGTTTACATTATAGGTCTCTATCTACAGCATACATTAAAAAATTTAGCTGTGCAGTATGCATGAAAAAAACTATCACAGGATATAAAAATTCTTTAAAATTATTCAATTTTGCTTAGAGAAACCAAGAAACAGCCTGTCTTTTCCCTCCCTCCTTTTCTGCTCTTTCTTCAGACTCTGTATTGTACTCACCTATTTCTTCTTATTCTTCCTTTTCCCTCTACTTCCTAATCCTTCTTCTTTTCCATCAAGCATATATTATGGACCTAATGTGTACTAGGAGTTGTTTTTGAAAGTGAGAATAGAGTTGTAAGAAATACATAGGTAATTTCTAGTAAGGAACTTAAAGTTTAGTTAAAGACACAAAAGAGACAGCTAATTTTAAATCAGTGTGTTCATAATTGATAAAATGTTACAAAAGTGTTAAGTATTAGTGGAAGATGATGATTATTAATTGCTGGAGAAGCAGTGAACACTTCAAGAGGTGATTTTTGAAGTAAGTAATACAAAAAGGCCAGCCGAGTTATGTTCCTGGAAAGGATTGCCATAGCAAAGTGAACTAGATTTCACGCAGCAATATAGGAGTCATTGTAGAAGGCAAAACAATGGAGGAAACCCTTTATACCAGAGAATGTAGCTAGACAAAAGCATTCAGGCTGACTCCATTTCTAAACTAAAGGGAGTTGGCTGGCAAATTAGAATGAATTGGATTGTCTAGAGATGTAGGAAGAATTGAAAGACATTGGAAGGGATGTTACAGAAGGAGAGATAATTCAACTGTGTGGAACATTGCTGTGAAGTTGAATAACATTGAGACAGAGAAGTGAATTTTGATATAGGAAGTTGAAAGCTACTCGTGATTTTGATAACCGTCTGGTTAACTATTCTACTGTAGTATGCTGGAGATATTCTATGACAAGAAAAAAAGAAAAGAAGTGACAATGATTTTAGACAACTGAAAGGTTATAGACTACAGGGAAAAGAGAGGCAACACTGGGTAAAAGGAGGTGAATGTAAGCAGGATTTTGTTTGTTTAACACCGTTTACTAGTATCTTAAGCAATGATAAAGAGATAAAAATGCAAATTGCCCTGATTTGAGCACTGCACAATGTACACATGCATTAGAATAGCAAATGGTACCTCACAAATATGTACAATAATTGCATTAATTAAAGAAAATATGAAAGATGATAGACTTGATAGCATAGTCATATAACATAGGCAATAATTCAAGGGGAGGAAAATTTTTAAACACAAAGAAAGTATATAGCTGCTGTATTCCTGAAGGGAATCCAGAGCACGGTAGAAAGGATAGATTCAGATAGGTTATTATATTAGTTCATGAGAGAGAGAGAAAGAGCGTGAGAGACTGAGACCTACAGTGTCAGTTAGTAGCTATCTTAAAACTCTGTGCTAAGAAAATAGGAAAGTACTGCTCTGTCAACTTTCTCACCTAACGGTTTCTAACTGAAGTAGCAGAAGTAACCCTGGATTTTCACTGATTTTGATTTGAACTAAAGATAGTAATTTTTTCTCACAATGTTTAATTAGTGAATATTATGGATTCTTTACATAAATAGATCCTTCTTCATCTGGTTTTCACGTTCCCTACCAATCCAATTTTCCTGTTGCCATTTGATCATTTGATCATTTGTTCACAAAGTTTGCTTCTAAATTCACTCTACACTTATTTCATCAGTGCAGAAATCTTTGTGTTTTGCTTTTAAATATTTTGTGTTATATTGGAATCAGCCACCAATTATTTTATTTGAATCTGTACTTTGAATTTAAAATTTATTTTGATTACCAAAGGAAATCCATATTTGATTATGACATCAAAGAAAATTACAAACCACTTTTTTGTCATCTCATTTTAGAGCTCTTTTAAATTAATTGATTAATTAATTTTGATTATGCAGTATTTGTTCATATTCATGAAGCATGATGTGACATTTTGGTTCTTGTACACAGTTACATATTACAGACATTTTCATATTAAACATACATTTCTTTGTGTATTCTGTAGGTTTTGCTGATTGCATTTGTGTTTGAAATGTATTTGCTTTCAAACTTGAACACTCAAGTGGAATTGAGATAAACAATGTTTTGTTTTTACCTACTTGTCACACTGGATTGCAACATTATTACCTTTCTTTCATACAAAAATATTAGATGTGTTAGTCCAGGAAACACAGTGCCTGAGTTTGAAATGACTAATGAATGAAGGGATGCAAGCATGGGTGAAAATGTGAGGTACATAAGAGATTAGAGTGGTTAGGGGGATTATGCAGGTGACTGAAATACAGGGAGACTCTACCAGTGTGGATTGAAGTGCTTTTTGATCTAAAGGGTTATAGGTAAATCGGTAAATACTGATTCCTTAGTCAGATTTGCTTCCATGTAAAAGCTGTATGTTCATTTATATGTCATTTTAATTTCCCTCATATAACAGCCTATCAAGAAGTTAATCTTCACTTTCAATGAAAGATGTTAATTTTTACTTAAAATTGTACCATGTTAAAAATACAAGACATTTAAAAATAAATTTAGTATGCTGTTTAATAATGAATTAAACTTCCTTTGTCTATTTATGTAAATGATTGAACACAGTTCTACCTTGAAGCATTTATTATAAACCCCTAGCTCTCTTGTTCACATAATCTTAGAGTGCAAACTCAGGTCATTTATTTTCTGAAAAATGAGTACAAAATTTTACTAAAAATGAATCATGGTTTAACAAGTTAGGATACTTTGTGTGAACACTGTAATAATAAATATTTATAGTTTAAATGGTGTGGATGCTAATTTCAGCTGACACCATTTATTTATTATATTTCTGTATATGTAAAAAGAATATTTAAAACCTGAATTCTTTAAAATTTAGTTTCACATATTTTTCTGCCTGTAGAAAGCAAAGAGAAAAGATGACTAGTAAAGATATTCTTTTTGGAACTTTACCAAGAAAATATCATTCATCAACGTTTTCAAGGCAGGGGTCACCAACTACATTGTTTTTAAGATCAGCAAGTGTTCACCATGTCTATATTTGTGTTGACTTTCTTATTTATTATCAAAGTTAGATGTTTTGAATGTGAAATGAAGTATCAGTGAAATTTTGTCTTATTAGTTTGGAAAGGCTATTATGACATTTCTAGTTTGAAATGCAAATGAAGTGGGTAATATTGAATTCTGTAATTAACAAGAAATATTTTAGATCACATATTTTATTGTTTTGGAAAAAGACATAGAAAATCACTTTAATATTTATCATCAACATGGTAGCAGTATGTCATATTGTAGGGTCATTATAAATCAGACACTAAATGCAAATGCAAAGCACATAAATATCTAAATAATTTCAATTACTTTTCAGAAAGTTAAAAATCCTTTTTTCTTGAGATTGATCACATTTTAAAATTACATTTTAAAAATCCTATGCCTTTGTGCACATGAGTTGAGATATTTGAGATTAGATAAATTGCTGTTATTCTTCTGAATATATTGTTTTTTTCTTACACATACTTGACTTAGTTTGACTTAAATTCTACTATTTCATATTTTGAAAAGCAGATGTGGAAAAAACACAATACCAAAATAATAACAGTGACCTAGTTTTCAGGTAGTTCTGGCCAGAAAGACAAAAATAATTGAAAAATATTTGCATAGTTAAGGTGACAAGAGGAAAAATAGCATGTGTTTAGAATTTCATTTGGAGGCTCTTTTTGATAAACTGTATCTCATATATAAATGCAGTAATAGGCCAACCAGGATTTCTAGGTAAACAGTGGTCATCATACTAATAAATCAGGTCTTAGCCTGAGGGTATAAGCAGAGGCATTGATGAGAGTATTATTTCTGTTGTGAATTTCGTCATTTAGGGACTAGACAAAAATAATAGTAGTGGATGCCACTTTAAAATTGACTATTATACAAATCAATATCTTCTCAACAAATTTGCTTAGGATTAATATTTACATCTTCATTCTAAGGAAAGCCTGTTTTCCTTCATACCACTGAATTTAAAATCAAGAACATTACACAGTAAAATAAATGAGTCATTTTGAAACCTATTGTTTGAATTTCAGCATTCCAACAATAAAATAAATGATAGCACATGTGTTTACTTTAGTGTTCAGCTGTAAACTTCAGCTTTAATTATGGGTTGTTGACGTCCTTATTGCATGCATGATATTTAAATTAGTCTGCATGTAAGAATTTATCACTCTTTTTTGCTTTTGTGTTTGAATGTTTCCAATTATTGCTAGAGGATAAAACATTCTATGTGAGATGAGACATCATCAAATAAAGTTTTGTTACTAGGGTTGAACTTCACATTTGGGTGAGTAACATGCAGTCTTCTGTAAAGCTCCTGGTTGATAATAAAATTCATATAAATCAACATTGACGGAGTTACACTTTTCCTACAACAGGTTTTACTCAGTGACTGCAGAATAAGTTTGATTTGCTGAAAAATTACATTATAGATGTTGTGACTAGTGCTTTCAATCTTGGAAAATTTTATGTAGTCTAGCACTTATTAGCATTGCCATAGAAAATGCAATTTACATGCAACTGCACGTGCAGTATATGTATTTTACCTCATATTAATGTACCATGATGTCACTGTAGTTTTCTGTGTCATAACAAATGAAAGAGTTTATCAGCTAAGGAAGTTTCAAAAGACAACTAAACTATGCCTTCCCACTGAAGTATTGACACAAGTTTACATCCTCTGTCACCTACATAACAATACATTTTGGCAAACAGTGTGACTGATAAAATGGGCAAAGTCAAATATAATTTGAAAATTATTTTCACAAAGATTTTTTGTGACAGCTAAAAGGATTCAGGAGGTACATAGAAAGACATAACTACTATTTTAAATTTGCATTTATGACAAAATCTTTCAAGAGAAATATTGTCAAATAATATTAACTATTGACATAACAATATAACCCAAAATTACTGTAGTAATTATATCTTATGGTTATTATTAGAATAAAAGAGCTAGTTGATTAGCTATTCTTATTAGAAGATGACTCATAAATTATTAAGCAAATATACTGGTAGAGTTTTGGGATACATTAAGCATTGATTCTTTTTCAAATTGTACTAGTAGGGTAGTCGGGCAGCCTAAGAGCTTTAGGCTACAATATTCAATCAGTTTTGCTCTTTGCCTTTCCAAATAACACAGCAATCTCTGACCACCTCATAGTGACTCCACACAGAGATGCACACTGACCTTTGGTGGCTTCAGTCACTCTGTTTGACTAACTTGATCACTTAATGTAAAAGATCTGGCAATACAGATGTTAAATCTGATTATACAGATTGAAAAGTTAAACTGCAGTATTTGATAGACATAAAACATTTACAGGTTACATAAGTAGGCCCACATGGGCTTGTATGAACATTGGATCTTGTATAGAATAGTTTCAATTATATTTTAATGAAGAATCACAATTCATAGCAATGATTGAGATGTTTTTTTGGATTAAGATGCCTAGGAAGCAGCATTTCTTACAAACCCATTGGAAGTGATTCTAACAGGAAACACATATCCCAACTTAATATAGTAGTTATAGAAACTGAAAAAGCCTACTATACTTGAAAGGATTACTATACTGGTATTCATTTTTGATTACATGTACTAATCATTTGTATTGACCACCAAGTGTCTGTTAATCCGTATTTAACTGACTGATAGTGAGAGAAGGGAAACAATCAGACAATTGGTAATTTCGATCAAAGGACACATTTTTTACTCTCATAGTGATTTTAATGATATTATGGATTGTACAACCCATCCCTAACAACAGGTGAATGTACAAATCACTTTCTTATAAATAGCAAGCCTTTGTGACAAACAGAAATATATTAAATCACATCAAACTTTTGAGTTTTGAAATTTTTTTGTTCACTGTCTATTGTTTTCCTCTATTACACTTACTTATTTCTTAAAGATTTCTATATAATTTAAATTACTGATTAGAAAAATATATATGCTTAATTATTTCTGTTGGTTTCATTAGTTAAAAAAAAATTTTAAAATATCCAAGAGGATTTACAATTACCTAATCTGTATTCCATGTATGGTGATAGCAATTAATTGGAAATGACTGAAAACTACAACAAAGATAATTAGCAACATATTAGAATTAAACATTGCTGCAATTCTTTTTAATTTTATGCCCAATAATTTAAAAACATGAAAAAGTTAAGATGAAAAGTAAAAACAATGAATTTTTGGAATATTGCATATTTCACTATCTTATTTATACCACATGTATGCATATATGTAGGTATATTTATACTTATGTACCTAGGAATAATACATACATGCTCACACACAAATATGAGGAGTGAATCATTGAGTAGACATTGATGGCCCTTTTTTTGTAGCAAAAATAATAGTAATTATTTTATTATTACTATTAATAGTAATAGTATTAAGAGAGGAATTTAATGAAACAGCATAAAAATGTGAAGAGATGGAAAAAGGAGAAACATTTCCTGCTCCCCATGCAGGAAATGTGAGTAAAGACTCCCCACTGATGGTTGTAATCAAGCAATGACGCTCTCCGAACACTGTTGAAGTGTCTTGTTTTTATCAGCTTGGCATCTAATTTTAAAAGTACCACAAGGCTCATAATAGAGAACCACAAATATTTTCCCAGAAATAAAATTCCTTACTAAGTTAACACTAGGGAGGGATTCCGGACATTTACAATATCATACTGTTTTACTACAATTACATTTCTTAAGATTTGACATTTTTTATTTTCTACACTAGGAAATGTACACTATGTTAGGTTTTCCATTTAATAGAGAGCAAAGGAATAATATATTCAGACTTTGAAATGGTGTTAATGGTTAGAAGTACGTTAAACTGTACTTGAAAAAAACTGGGTAGGGAAAAGGACTCAACTCTTTAACTGGTATTTCCATCAGAAGTATCAGGTGATCTTGGGAAGACAATGCATTTCTGTTCTTTCTGGTTCTCATTTGTATAATTCTTTAGAAATCTGAAAACTTATATTGCTAAGAATTTCTTTTCATAGCCAGATAAAAATGCCTTGATTAGGACAATGACTACTGAAACTAAAGCAGGACACCAGCAATGGGAAACTTCTAGGCAAAGGATTGATACAGAGACATAACAAGGAAAAGAAGTCAAGGAGTTCGTGTAGAGAAAGGTAGTTAGAAGAACATGCCTTGCCAAGTTCAGTGCTGACTGATTAACTTAATGGTTCCTGGACCATTTGACTTGAGTAACTCTTCATAATTTCTGCAGGGATGTATTGCATTTATTTTTTTATGTTGTTGAGATTGAATCCACGTCCTCCTGTATGCTATGCAAGTCCACTGCCACTGAGCTGTGGATGCCTACCGAAAACACCTAAATTAATAAGTGCCTACATGTTGAGTATCTGTAATAATTATTAAAAGGAGTAAGGTTAAGAGTTTTTGATATATGGTTATTACTGTCATATTAATAATAAATTTGGTAGCATTATTTTATTATATTGATATTTAATACATTAAAATGAATGTTAAATAACAAAACTACTGTGACAAAATAACAGTAAATACATACTATTGTGAGGCATTGTAAAAGTTTCAGCAATTAATGATGTTCAGAAGGGAGTACAGTTTCATTGTCTGTTTTTATAAAAACTGGATTGTGGTGAGAATTGCTATGAAGCTAGTTTTAAAGAAACCACAGAGTCTATTTGATTTTCTGACATTCCTGTTGTCATTCTTATTGACACAGTACACAATATGTCAATAAATGTGGATTTATATAAGATTAATAATGTGTGATTTCATACTTATAGAAACATGAATTAAAAGTTCAGGTTTTTAAAGTAAATAATTTTGAAATTTGATTATACATAGAAAATGTACAAGTATTTCATATGATTGTGTTGCTTGTTACTGAAATTTAATAAGAATGCTTACCTTATCAGTACCTGCTGTATTTTGTTTGGCTTTTTTTTCAAATTCATCATAGAAGATAGGTATGTAGGAAAGGAATGAAACGGGCTTGAGCAGCATGCTTATTTTCAACTGGAGACTTGTTCAAGCACATTTCAATAATATTTAAAAATATTTCTCAACTTTCTGCAATTCATTTAAGCCCTAGACCATGCTATGCTTTTTATAAGAAGCATTTCTAAGTTCCTTTCACTGTCTCCTACTAATAACACATCATAAAAAGATTATGAATTATGCATTATAATGAAATATAGAACAGTTATACTTCATTATGTTATGAGTCTACATGTTTAAAATTGTCTATTGCATATACGAGTTAGGTCTATTTGTACAGGGTTATATTCCTCTGTCTATACAAATATAGATAGACTTGTGCAATTTAGAAAAAGTAGGTAAATGAGGAGTCTGTTTTAAATAATCATCTTGCTTATCAAACAAAGAGTGTTTTAGAGAGCCGAACTTATTTTTGAATACGTCAAAGTCTTAATTTCCTGTTAATATGTATTTCCCCCTCAGGTACTTTCGTCATCCAGGTGATAGCAAGTGATGCTGATGATCCTGCAAGTGGCAACAATGCTCGCCTCCTGTACAGCTTACTACAAGGCCAAGCATATTTTTCTATAGAGCCAACAACAGGTATTTGCAAATAAAACAAAGGGGACATATAACATGGCTCTAAAGCAGAAAATGGTCAACAAAATTGCCTGCTTGGAAACATGTTTAAGAGTTGACCTGATGTTTCAATAAATAAATAGGTTGTAATTTGTAAGCATTTAACTAGAGTCTAAGATGAAAGATTGGATTTTCCATATTCATATCACAAATGATTTATATATGGGGTAGAGCATATCCAAGGATTCTTATACATCAGTTATGAAAAAGTCAGCAACCCAATTTAAAAACAGGGGGAAAGACATTTACAAGCAATTGACAAAAGGTTACATATAAAAAGACTATAAGCATGTTAAAAAATCTCAATCTCATTAATGCATGAGGAAATACAAATTTAAACAACCTTGATATACACCTGCTTACTTGACCAGATGACTCAGATGGTTATGAAGCTGGATGTTTGAACTGACATGAGACAAACGAGTGAAAAGTTCTTTTCTTTACCTATGTTCAATTATTATGAATACTGCAGTTGATTCTTTTTCTACAATTGCTTCACCAATTTGAATTAACCAATTGACTGCCTTATGAAATAAATAGAACAGCCAAGATGCCCCAGCCCCTCGTCCCCTCCTTTTTCCCCCCTACCTCCCTTGCTTACAGGCAGACCCTGTTCTGCCCTCTTCTCTAATTTTTTTTTTCATTTTTCTTTTATTATTCATATGTGCATACAAGGCTTGGTTCATTTCTCCCCCCTGCCCCCACCCCCTCCCTTACCACACACTCCGCCCCCTCCCTCTCCCCCCCCCTCAGTACCCAGCAGAAACTATTTTGCCCTTATTTCTAATTTTGTTGAAGAGAGAGTATAAGCAATAATAGGAAGGAACAAGGGTTTTTGCTGGTTGAGATAAGGATAGCTATACAGGGCATTGACTCACATTGATTTCCTGTGCGTGGGTGTTACCTTCTGAACAGAACACATAAGCATAATAAGAAAGACATAGCATTTTTGCTACTTGAGATAAGGATAGCTGTACAGAGAGATTCCCAGCATTGCTTCTATGCACATGTGTTTTATAACCCGAATTGATTCATCTCTACCTGACCTCTTCACTACTTCCTGGTCACTGTCCCATAGTGACCTCTGTCAGTTTAAAATTACTGTGTTAGCTCCTTTACAGTGGGCATATCAAACACTTTCAAATTATGGGTTTCTTGGTTTCTTACCTTTCCCTATTACTCCTGTATGCATTCTCCCCTTAGCGTGTGATCCATGTCCAATAGTATTAGTGCATTTATTTTAGGTCTAAAATCCACATATGAAGGAGAACATATGATTTGGGGGCTTCTGAGCCTGGCTAGCTTCATTTAAGATGAAGTTCTCCAGTTCCATCCATTTACTTGCAAATGATGAGATTTTATTCTTCTTCATGTCTGAGTAAAATTCCATTGTGTATAAATACCACATTTTCTTAATCCATTTGTTTAGTGGGGCATCTTGACTGTTTCCATAACTTGTCTATTGTGAATAGCGCTGCAATAAACATGGGTGTGCAGTTGCCTTTGGAGTAACCTGTGTCACAGTCTTTTGGGTATATCCCTAGGAGAGTGGACACCCTTGTCTCCTTCCTGATTTTAGGGGAAGTGGTTTCAGTTTTGCTCCATTAAGTATGATGTTGGCTATAAGTTTGTCATACATAGCCTTTATAATGTTGAGGTACATTCCTTCTAATCCTAGTTTAATTAGAGCTTTTTTCATGAATTGGTGTTAAATCTTATCAAAGGCTTTTTCTGCATCTGTTGAGATGATCATGTGGTTTTTGTCTTCTATTAATGTGCTGTATTACATTTATAGATTTGAGTATGTTGAACCACCCCTGAATCCCTGGGATGAAACTGACTTGGTCATGGTGAATGATCTTTCTGATACATTGTTGGATTAGGCTTGTCATTTTTTTATTGAGGATTTTTGTATCGATGTTCATTAAGAAGTTTGACCTATAGTTCTGCTTTATGGATGTGTCTTTGTCTGGTTTTGAGATGAGTGTAGTATTGGCTTCACAGAATGAGTTAGGCAGTATTGCTTCTCTTTCTAGTTCATGGAAAAGTTTAAGGATAGTTGGTATTAGTTTTTCTTTAAAGGTCTGATAGAATTCAGCAGAGAATCCATTAGGTCCTGGACTTTTCTTTTTTGGAAGACTATTGCTGCTTCAGTTTCATTTCATGTTATAGATCTTTTTAATTGGTTAATATCCTCTTGGTTCAATTTTGGATGGTCATAAGTATCTAGAAATTTGTCCATTTTTTCAAGATTTTCAAATTTATTAGAATATAGGTTCTCAAAGTAGTCTCTGATGATTCCCTGGATTTCCGTGGTGTTTTTTGTTACCTCCTCTTTTGCGTTTCTGATTTTACTGATTTGCGTTTTTTTCCTCATTTTAGTCAGATTTGCCAAGGGTCTTCAATCTTGTTTATTTTTTCAAAGAACAAGCTTTTTGTTTTGTTGATTCTTTGTATGGTGTTTTGGTCTTTATTTCATTAATTTGAGCCCTTATTTTTATTATTTCTCTCTTTTTGCTTGTTTTGGGTTTTGCTTGTTTTGATTTTTCTAGGAGTTTGAGATGTGGTATTGGGTAATTTATTTTATGCACTCATGGCTATAAACTTTCCTCTCCCATAGGTTCTAATAGGTTGTGTTTTCATGTTGAAAGTGATGCACATATGAATAATAAAACAATAAAAAAAAGAAAGTAATAACAATGGTAACAACAACAAAAAAAAACCAAAACAGAAACATGGACTTATAGGTAGATTTTAAATGTTGATTTTAGCAATTACATACATTTAATGTGTGAATAATTTTAAAGTTAAACAAAAGTGCCCCAATAGGACAAAGAAAGTAAGGACAAATTTAAAGTATGGTCAATGCAAAGTTCACTGAAAGCAGAATACTCAACTGAGCTATGTCTAAGAGGAAGAGAAACTATAGGAGCATTCAAGTTATGGAGGAAATGAATGAGAAATTCTCCAAAGATGGGAAAAAGTTGAAGGTCTTAAACCAACTGGATGCTACTTTCTGTAATATTTTATTAGTGACCTATCAATGTTCTTATTATTGTGATGACCAATCACAATATGGCAGTGTCTCTGGTACCTTGTAATAACTCAACATGTAGCAAAAGATGGATTATACAGTAGGATCCTTAAAAATTAACTATGAAGATGTCATGGTTAATAATGAAATAATAATTGGAATTTTATTACACTTTTAAAGGAGTCATCAGAATATCTTCCGAAATGGATAGAGAACTGCAAGATGAGTACTGGGTAATTGTTCAAGCCAAAGATATGATCGGCCAGCCTGGAGCACTGTCTGGAACAACAAGTGTATTAATTAAACTTTCAGATATTAATGATAATAAGCCTATATTTAAAGAAAGTAAGTAGAAAATAAACTGAATTTCATTAGAGTGTAAATATGTGTTGCATAGGTACTTATACTAATGTTTGCATTCTAAAAGCAGATATATTATCTCAGAAATTACATAAAATAAATTTCATAATTTTTCTAAGATGAAGCTATTTGCATTAGTTTCAAAATTCAAATAGAAATGCAGGAGTACTGTGCTGGTGTTCTATTGCTATTATAATAAATTGTTACAAACTTCATACTAAAAACAAATTGGTTATCTTCAAAATGTTTAACATGGATCTCATTTACTATTCTTTAAGACTGTGCTTCTTTCATCAACCACTTGTTGAGTGTTAGTATAATTCAGTTATTTGTTTCTGAAAGGGTCTGTTTCCTTGATGGCTGTTAGCTAGTGGGCACCCTTACCTCCTAGAGCTTTCTGCTGACTCTTGACATAGCCACACTCCCGAAGCAGACAGAGGTATGGTATTTTTCTCACACAGACATCTGTCTGACCAATACTTTTTCCTCTTTCTACTTTTAAGGACTCATTGGACTAGATTCATCCCACTTGGATAAACTAGGCTAATCTTCCAATCTCAAATCAGCTGGTTGTCAACTTTAAATCATATCTGCAAATTTATTTCCTTCTCTCTCTCCTCTCTCTTTCTCTCTCTCTGTCTGTCTCTCTCTCCTTTCTCTTTGGTGGTACTGAAGTTTAAATTCAAAGCCTGACACTTGCTAGGCAGCTGTGTACTACGTGAGTCACTCCATCAGACCTTTTTAGTGTTGAGTACTTTTGAGATAGGGTCTCATGTACTATTTGCCAAGGCTGGCTTCAAACTGTGACCCTCCTGATCTCTGCCTCCTGAGTAGCTAGATTACAGGAGTAAGCCACCAGCACCCAGCCTACTGTTGTCTCTTTAAATAACATATTCATGGAATCAGGAAGATGAGAACATAGATATCTTTGTGGGACCATTCTGCTCACATACAAAATATTTAAAATGTACTATTTTTATCTTTTATTCTTATAGCAAGAATGCTCCACATAGACCCTGACTATTTAATTAATAAGTATAAGTTAATTAACATGTAACTTCTGTTTTAGGGAATGTCTTTTTCAAGATATTCTATCAGAGCTACAGAAAGGCATTTATATAAACGTTTCTAGAAAGCATGAGCAATTATGAGGAAATTTTTATAAGTATGGAATAAGGGAAGTAACAGATTTTATGCACATATAAAATGCATGTGCATTCCACCATAGCGTGATTTCCTAGATGGTGATTATTGATGTACAAAACTATTTCTTAACTGCCTTTTCTTCTACCTTTTCCTCTATGCCTTGCCCCATTCTTCAAAGTCAAGAGAAATCAGTCCTTGTGAGGACTCAAGTGAAATATTACTTTTGCTGATTTTCTTTTCATAGAATAGTCTGTGGATAACCAGAGAAAGTTGACATCATATAAATTTTCTTTCATATCTGGATTCATCTTTCATTAGGAATGCATGCTTGGGAATGTCCATTCAAGTTTATGCACATACATAAATGCACAATTAAGTAATGTAGACAATATTTAGTTTTGTCACTCTTGCTAAATTCAGGGTTTTCATATCTGCTGACTTATCAAGAAAAATAGTAAGCCAACCTCATGATATTTTGGTCAAAAATGAACACGAAATATAACAATGGTCCATCAGATTAAAATGAAGCTAATAATTCTTATCACTTAATATTTTACTGTATCTTTTCTATGTTTGGATATGCAAATACCACTTTTTACATTTTCCTATAGTATTCAGCAGAATAATTTGCTGTATAGGCTTATAGATTAGGAGCAATAGACTTTACTATATAATCAAAGTATGTAGATTTGTGTAAGTTCAGTCTATGATGTTTACACAGCTACAGCTGGAAGGGCACATTTCCCCAAACAGCCCCATTGATAACCAATACTTGACTATATCACAAATATGATTTTTATTTCTGCTTTACCCTTTTAAGTTTAAAAAACAATTCAATTGTTTTATGGGTCAATAAAATACTTTTTCTTTGGAGGGAATGCAGTCCATGGGCCAATAGTTTGTAATTTTGTCTCCATGTGTAAAATATGTGAGGGGTATGTCAATCTTCACAATATGAATATGGCTTCCTACGTGCAATATAAATACCCAGACTGTGATTGGCAAATAATGTGTAGAAAAATAATGGCTAGGTAAAGTGAGTAAATTGAGTCTTATTTTTATGGAGATAACTGTGAAAGGCAAGTAGAAGGCTCTGGGAGGTACAATTCTTTAGAAATATTCTTGAGTCAAAATTTCTTGAAACTTTTCTACTTTTCTTCACTTCTTTTTTGATTTTTCCAACCTTACATTATTTCCTTAAGTTAAACTTGAATGTGGATAAACATAATGTCTACTTATTTACTCTTGTCACATGGTTTTCCCTTGTTACAATCCCATTACCCACAAATCAATTTAAACATTATTTATTTATCCCACTGCTTTGGGTTATGTTTCTTTCTTCCCCCATATCAAGGGCATCATACAAGCATCCCTCTCACTTATGCTAATTTTTTTCTCCTCTAGTTCATGGCTGTTATCATCCATGTTTTACTTTTATTTCCTCTCATCTTAAAAAAATATTTTGGCATCACTTCCCTATTTAGTTAATAAGAGTTCTTGTTTTTTCTTGCTTGCTAGATAGTATTTCTTCCTCAAACCTTTGAAAGCTGTCCCATTTGGGTTTTACCCACACCACTTGAACAAACTGATGTGTTAATTTCTATCAGTAACATAGACTAACCAAATCCAATTTCAATTCTTAGTTCCCATACAATTTGATAACTCAATGTGATTTGACATAGTGGATCACGCATTGCTTGGAACACTCAATACAACAACATAGTTAGATTTCTGTTGCATTTTAGTAGCCACATTTTCTTGGTCTTTACTTGTTCTGCTTTTGTACATATTTTAAACTTCAGTATATGTCTGGGATACAGCTTTTAACCTTGTCTTCCTTTCTACTGTACATACTCTAATTCAACTTCATGGCTTTAAATATCACCTCTGTGCTGACAATGTTTAAATACATGTCTTCTTTCTGGACTTATCCCATAAACTCCACAGATTTACATCTAACTTCCTATTCATCATGTTCATTGATATATGTTAGGCACATTTCAAATTTAACATAGATTTTATGTTGTTCCTGGTCTAACTTGCCCTCTCCTCCAATCCTCTTCTTCCTATAGATTTACATGTCTCAATCACTAAAATCTAGATTTCACATTGCTCAAGATAAAATCTCACTTATTCAATTCAAACACCATTTTGGATAAAGAATTAATTATCCAACTCAGATTGTACTGGATAAAATCCAAACCAATTTTCAGTTCTCATCCAGTCCTATAAATTTGAAGATAGCTCCGATTTTCAGGATTTTGTGAGCAAATACACACACACACACACACACACACACACCATCTGACAGTGGAAAATTATTTTCTTAAAGAGTTGGCAGGCATTTATTGTCCTCTTCTCTTTCTTATACCAAATATTCAATCATTGAAGATCCCATTGTTTCTGCCTTTAAGAAAAGTGAATGTTTCCCACCTCCTCCAATCCTACAAAGTGGTTCATGCCACTAATGTAATTTGTCTTTATTATTGCACTTGGCTCTTTTCTAGTTTCTCTGCTTGCACCATTGCTCTTCTTTTCTTTATTTCAACACAGATTTAGAGTTCTTGTTAAAATGTGAGTCAGATCTTATTACTTTTAATGCCTTCCCATGTCATTCATGGAAAAGGCCAAAATCCTTAATATAAACTAATTGGTCCTAATGTTCTCAAATTACTTGTGTGTATGTAGCCCTTTCCATGACCTCTTGAACATTATCTATGACTGTTCTATACTCTGCTTCTTAAAAAGCCACCACCTTTCAATTGAGCTCCCTCTGTTCCCATGATACTCTAGACTCTAGCATTTGTCCTCTGAAAATCAGATTCCTCTGATATTCATTACCTTACTTCAGTTCTTATCCAGAAGTCACATCCATAGTAAATTTCTTTCTACCTATCAAAAATTTAAACCCATTCCATCACAATACTCTATTAGTACTTACAAGTATCTTATTTATTGTCTACTTCATCTCCAAGAATATAAGCTGAGGATTGCATCATTCTACATATTGTTTCTTGTCATGTTCCTAGCCTCTACAACAAGACTTTGTGAAGAAAGTGTGTTGAAAAAAAAGAATAATATTTGAATGTTTGGAAAATGAGAATACAGTGTTGATTGAAAGAAATGTTGGGGTTGTTTCTAGTTTTGAAGCCAGTAGCTTAAGTCTTAAGCATATGTTTTCAAGTTTATGGCAATGTATCTGTTTCCTCCAGATTGATTGATTGGTAATTTTTAATTTGTACAATCAAATAAATGATTTTTGATTTTTCCACAATAAAAAAAGTACTACAGCCGTGAAATTACTTTTACTGTAAAAAGAAAACAGTAAAATATTAGCAACTTTTATATAACACTTCTCCTGTGTTAAAAAAAATAGTACAGATCTCAAAATGCATCTATTAAGTGACTTGCTGTAGCTTAGAAATGAACGAAATATCTCGATAAATAATTCTATCATGTGTGTTCCTTTTTTAAGCCTAAGACGTCTCATTCTTTAGAATATTGACATGTATGATTATTTCCTCCATTAATCATGGTGGAGATCCTCACCAGTTTTATGCAAATTACTTCTGAGAAAGTAAAGAAATATAAAGTTCAATAACGTTTATTTAAACTTATGTATTTTAAATTTATCTGCCATCATTTCTCATGACCAAATCAGTAAGGTCATCTTTGGTTCTGATGTTGTTTATCTTCTACATCTACTTGTCAGCTTTTTAGGATACATCTTTCCCGGCTTTTCCAACATGGCTAAAGCTCCAAATCAAACAACCTGTGTCCTACACTTACATTCATTGGTAACTTCAGGTACGAGGACTATTCAAGTAAAAGCAAAAATCTCTTTGTATCAGATTTAGTTGTTCTAGAATACAATGAGGTAAATCACTATTGTTGAGGAGGCATGAATATGAGTTCAAATTTGGAATTATACAAACTACTGATAAGATTGACTGAGATATTTGAGAGGAAATGAACATTCAGGTAGGATGTTAGGCAAATGCTCATATTTCAAAATAAAAGGATATATATATGCACATACTCATATGTGTATATATATATTTACATATATACATAAAGATATGCTTTCAAAACATACACACAATACAATCTAAATGAAAAAGAGGGAGACAGAGATATTTAGAACAAGTAACTTAAAGGATAAGACATCTGTTTTCTGGTTGACCATAAATAAAAGTTGCTGGAATTGGGAGTATCTTATACAAAGTATCCAAAATATCTGGAATTTTTTTTAAAGGCTTTTACCGCTTAAATGTCTCTGAATCTGCACCCATTGGGACATCTATAGGAAGAATTTTGGCATATGACAGTGACATAGGAGAGAATGCACAAATGGTTTATAGCATTGAAGGTGATGATTCCCAGGCATTTGACATAATTACCAATAATGGGACCCAAGAAGGAATAATTACATTAAAAAAGGTAAGTATATTAACATTATCTGCTTTGCAGAGGAGTTCAAATGATATACAAGTAATTATTTTGTGTGACTGATTAGCATTTTGCTTCATTAAGTAATTGAAGTATGAATTCATTATTTATGACTTAGGGAGAAAATTAGTTTAGAAATGAGAGTCAGATTTTATAGAACCTTTTGAATTATAGGTAGAACTGTTAAAAATGATTTTCAAATGATAGACAATTACTTCAAAAATATCTTATCTACCAGAAAATTAATTCTGAATTCCATGAGACATTTATGATACCCAAAATACAATTTTAATCTTAAAATAAAATATCATTATCATAAACCACCTTATAATAAAGATATGTGACAAAATACAATTTTATAATGACTGATTAATTTTATAATGACTGATTAATGCTATTATCAGATTAATGCCATTATATTATTATTATTATTTACTTTTTATTTTATAAAAAGTTAAATCTAACTGAAAAATAAATGACAATTTAACATAGATGTTTTTTCTAATTAATGCTTTGAATTACTTAAGCTATTTGGTCTGTGCACACTGCCTTTCTTTGTAGAAAGTAGATTTCGAGCACCAGAGTCATTATGGTGTTAGAGCCAGAGTTCAAAACTTCCATGTTGATGAGCAGCTCCTGAAATATCATGAAGACGCCTCCAGTACTTTCATTAAAGTCCAAGTGGAAGATGAAGATGAGCCTCCTGTTTTCCAGCTCTCGTATTATGTGTTGGAAATATTTGAAGAAAACCCACAGGGATCATTCGTAGGCATAGTGTCTGCCACAGACCCAGATCAAAGGAATTCTCCTATTAGGTGAGTCTAAAAAAATTTGCTTTGCATTGATAAATGAGTAGACACAGATTAGCATGCCAATAAAGCTCCATTGAAATGTTAAGAAAAGGGTATGTCTAATCTGCATTTGGCATTGCAATTAGTGAATTTATACCAATAAAGCAAACAAGTAGCAATAGAGAGCCTCATTGTCCATTAAGATGCCTTACAACAGGTGACGGCATGCATGTAAGAAAAGGACAATCTGCAACTAAAATTCAGGGCCACCCACTCTCTCTTAATCATGGTATGGAGGTGAGGGAAAAGGATTCTTTATTTATACCAAGTCAGAACTACAACATGCTGGTCCATTTAAATACTTTTTAAGTGTAATAATGTTCAGAAAATTGAAGAAACTTTTAAAAGTAAAAAGGAATAAAAGTAATAAAAGTATAGGTGTTTATAGGTAAATTTCTGTGTTGCCACCAAACCAATATCTGCGCCCTATTAAAAGAAATCTATTTTGTTTTTTCCATTTTTATTATATTTGTTGAATGTCATTGTGACAGTTCCAAATAATACATTGTTTAGATTGCCCCAACATCCCCCACCATGCAAATTCCTCCCCATGCCACTTAGGGCAATTGCAAGAGATTTTATCCTTTTATTTTGTATATGTATATGAAGAAGAGTCTATTTTAGTTAGCATGCTATGATTTCTTTTAGTCCTCCAAATTATCAGTTGTAGTTTGAGCAGACATGGAAACAAAATTTTTATGATTTCTTTTCACCATCTTTCCTTGCTCACTTCCTTTCCTTTCCACAACCCATAATACAGAGAATTATGTAAACTTTCAAACATTGATTAAGAAGCTGCTTGCTGTTTAGTTCTTTAAAGGAGTGACTGATATACTGAGGGGGGTCTATTACTTTGTTTCTTTTCTTTCCTCTTTTTCTTTTGTGTGTATTTGGTAATGGAAATTGAGCACATGTGCTTGTGCATGGTAGGCAAATATTCTACTTTTTGCGTCATGTCCCATACTGTTAATTGTATTTTGTATTATTGAAGTAGGGTCTCACTAACTTTGCCCAGCCTGGCCTTGAACCCTCAAGCCTCCTTTCTCTGCCTCCTGAGTTACTGGGATCACACATGTGTACCACCATGCTCAAATGGGACTCTGTTACATTCTTGATATAAAAGGATGCCCTTTTCAATTGTAATCCTTTTTCATAACATACTGCCTTTCAATGTGTAAATGTACATATATAGAGAGATATGCATACGTATACATATATATATGTATATGTGTATATATATACATATATATCTTCCAGTATAAACCAGTATATATACTTAATTAAAATCCAGTGTGGATGTATGTATATATGTACATAAACATATATTTAATCATAATCCAATAAATCAATTGTTTAATTTTAAAAAGTAATATGTACCAACCTGTTGTTTTTCTGTGAATACTAAAATACTTGATTTTTAAACAAAATTAAATGAAGATATTCAATATGCTATCATTTTTAATTATAAATATTGGGAAATTAATCTTAGTTATATGTTTAAAGGGAATGAAATATTATTAATGCTATATAATGATATTTATGAAGCTTATATTTTTTAAGTGTTTTTAAAACAAAATTGAGAATTAAATGTCCATTACATAAAAATTCTCTGTATATATGAGTGAAAGATGTAAGATACAGCCAAATACAAAGAAGTTTTGTGAGAGGCAAGAAATGAATTGAGGTTTATGAGACACCAAAACTATAGTAATATCCTTTAATGATGTGAACTAAGACAATTGCCAAATTATTTAAACTTTCTATATAGGAAATAATCTCTGAATCTTATTGAAGTTTCCTTTTGACCTGAACATATAATCTAATTCTGAAGTATTTTCTGAGTATAACAAAAATGGTATATTCATTTCTGTTGTAAAAAGTGTAAGTTTAAAACCAAAGCAAGCATAAAAAAGAAAATAAAATGATTATAGCAGAAGCAATGAAATTAACAACAATAGCAAGGTGCAATGCAAACCTGGGAATTTCAAAACACCAGCAACATGCATAAAAGTGGTTAATGACTTTACAGACAAAAGGATGACAAGAAAGAAAAAGAGAACAAAAATTAATGTTATCAGAAGTATAACAACACATAAATATTAATCATACTGATGTCAAAAGATTGCTTGCAATTCTATGAACAACTCCATGGCCATATGTTCAAGTCAATTTGCTTGAGAGAAACCACCAAAATTTATTTCGAAAGATAGCCTCATTAATCACACACACACACACATATTAACATACATGCATATACATAAAAGCAAAACCGTAAATATTTATAAAGACACATGCCCAGTTTAAAATTTTCAATAAATGAAAAAATATTCCAGGGAAAAAATGTTCATTATGAATTCAACCATATATTACAAGTAAGGAAAACTACAAGTCAATATCTTTCATGAACAAGATACAAAAATTTTGACAGACCAATAGCAACTGCAGTTTTTTGTGGAAAGATTCTTCTTTCTCTTCCACAGGCTGCCTCCTATGAATGGAGGGGTACCCTTCCACACAAAATATTTCAATATAATTTGACATATTAGCAGGTTTAAATAGGAAAAAATTATATGATGTTTACAAATGAGAAAAGCATTTGACAATATTTAAAATTAATTCAAAATAGAACTATCAGCACAGTATCAATAGAACTAAAGATTCTTAACCAGAAAGTTATCTACAAAAAATGTACACTTAATATTATACTTAATGATAACTGACTGATTTTCACCTGAACTGAGCACAAGACAAAGATGCATTTTTACTAGTCCAATATATCACAATATTGGAAATCCTAACCTATGCAATTAGCAAGAAAATAAATAAAGCACATAAATTGGAAATAAAGGAACATGGTTTTCTTTCTGTACTTATTAATGATTTGATTTTCTATGGAGATAGATTAAAGATTTATAAAATGCTTAGTAATAAAAAGGGAGTTTATTAAGACAGGAAAATACAAGATTATAGAAATCTTTATATTCACTTTCCAGATTACCCAAAAATCCTCCTCTGAGGCATTTGCTTCAGAGTAAGGAGAACTGACTATTATGAGTTTCATTGAATTTGCAAAAATATCTGTTGCCTCCTAAAACTCAGGACCTTTGAATGTGGCTTTTTTGAGGAACAAGTGTTGTAAAGATAAATGGGTAAGATTAAGTCCCACTGGAGTGAGGTAGGACTTAATCTAGAATAATGGGGGGTTCTTATAGCAAGCAGGCACACACAAGGAGAAGAGAGTCATGTGGAGGCAGATGTTGAAGTGATGCATTTACTATCCAAAGCATAACAAAAATTGAAGAAAATCCCAGAATTTAGAAAAGGGAATGAAGTCTCTCCACTACAGGTTTCAGCTGAATCTTGATTTTGGACTTTTAGCCTTCAGCACTCTGGGAACCTGTTTATCATTCTTAGACAGCCAGCATGTGTTGTTTTGTCACTGTGAACCTAGAGAACTAATTCACTTATATAGACATGTAGATCTATGTTTGGAAATTCATAGCAGATTAATTCATAATCTCCAAAAATTAAGACGATCATTTCAATGACATAGAACATCAAAAAAGTGAAGTGAATAAAAAAAGAAAGCAAAAAGATCAGATGTGGTACAGTTTCACTTCGTTTCTATTTTGAAGGAAAGAAAAAGTTGGATGATACAGGTTGGCAAAAGTTTTCTGTGTTATTACTGACTGAGGTAGAGAATACATTGAGTTTCACCTGTCGAAATTTGTAAGACTTTCTATCACAAAGGGATATCAGATAGAAAAATGGAGATGTTCCAGAAAGGGATATTCCACCTGTTGCAAATGCACTTTGCTGTATTATAAATACATAGCATAAGAAAAGTGGAAAGAAGTTGAAAAAATATAATCAAGTGATTTCGGGAACCTAGCATGTTGGGGACTAAGGAGACATGAAAATGAGATGTAGTATGGAAGCCTAGACTGAAACACAAAAAAGGAAAAGGATGTTAGTGGGAAGACTGGTGAAATCCAATAATTGTTTATTGATAACTTCATCAAATCATGGCAATTACCTTATTATTATTTTTGAATCAATAATAATGCTATGGTTTTATATAAGATTTTAACAGAAAAATCTGAATTTAGGGACATGAGGGATTGCTCTCCTGTTTTCGTAGGTGTTCTGTAAGACTGAAGTTTTGGTTGAGGGGGTGAAGGTACAAATCCAAATAACATGATTGTCTACTGTTGATTAATTTTCTAGTCTATTTCTTAATTTTTAAGAATTGTAAAAATGTGCGTGTATGTGTGATGATAGTTAAGTCAGGACCAAGCAGATTTCCTCTTGTCAAGGCAGAGCAAGTGGAAAGAATGAGTAAGAGTCACATGACCAAAATGAGTTCTGCAAAAGAGTAATGCAAATAATATATATTACAAATAATTTATCCCTCATCTAATCTTTCAGGAGGTCTATATCCAGTTTTATTTCTATTTCACTTTTCCCAAGTGTAATTTCTTACCAAGATTTTAAAGGTTTTTATAGAATGGTGCCTCACAGAAATAGTATTAAATGTTTAATGCAAAATTGCACCAATTACAATACTGCATAATTTTGCCAACAAATCTATTCAGTGGGAAATGCAACCACTTGTGGATATTTAAATAAAATGCTTCCAAATGTTTAAAACTGGATATATTTAAAACTGAACTCCTGTAAATCTTCATTCTCTTTAATCTATATTTTAATCTTTTCTTGAACACCAAACTACAAATTAGTATAATATATTTAGAAGCCTGACAATTCAAGATTAAAATAGTCTCATCTTTGCTATGATTAGGGCAAATCTCATTGATGTCTCATAAAAGTTTTCATGAACCTGTGTGCAATGAGAAGCTATCACTGAACTTTAGTTATTACTGTTCCTTAATTTTTAGCATTAATCATTTACAAGTCAGTGAAACTTGCTGAGTGCTTCAAAGTCTTCTTTCATTGTAGATTTGAAATCATTTTTCAGACTTTTGGAAGAGGGAATTTTTGTATTCCAGCTACCTTCCAGGCATGACTGTGTGTGTATGTGTGTGTGTGTGTGTGTGTGTGTGTGTGTTGCATGATAAATATATATGTGCATGTATGAATCAATATGTATAACCTAAAATGAAGTATAGCAAATCTAAACTGAAATCTAAAATACTATTTATTTCATAAAATGTTTAATTATCGAACACTTCATATGTGTCATTAGTCAAGAAATTGTAATACAATGCACTGAGTAGCAAGCAAAACATACGGTATAGGAGAGAGATCAGCAGGTGTCTGATTTAAGGTGCAAAAGAAAAGGCTCACAACCTTTTCACAATTTTCCATGACTTATTTTTTCCTCTCTTCATTTCACAAGCAGCTTTTGACATTTCTTTTCAAGCAAGTCAGCCATCTATTAAAATTCTGTCATGGTTCAAGTACCACACACAAAAAAAATTCTCTATGGAATATGAGAATGAGTGACATTTATTTAGATTTTTAATCTTCATCAGCTTAAATCTGAAACCAGTTTTAATATCTCTGTTGAGCCGAATATGAGAAGTGAATGCATTATTTTTAAAAATGGTTTATTATTGCATTAACTATACAGAACTGCCTTTAATACACTGCCATGGCTTAAAAAGAGTGTTATATATTATTGTTATATAAAGATAATAATAACACTAAAGGGTGCTTTCCTTTTGCTTCAGATATTCTGTTATTGGAAGCAAAGTATTCAGTATCAATGACAATGGCACGATAATTGCCACTTACCCACTGGACAGGGAGGTTTGTGCCTGGTACAACCTGAGTGTCACAGCCACAGAGACATGTAAGTACTCATTTGGGAAGCACACAGTTACTCATTACCTTTTGTAAACCACAACATAATTTGCAAACATAAGAGGAAGAGCATTTTTAAATGTTATTGGAATTAGAGTTAAATATTTTATGTATAACTTCATGTACATTATATTTTATTTGATTATAAATTAGTACTTACTCTTTCCTATTAGAACTTACTATATATTACCACTAAATACCTTCAAACATTTTTCTAATTCAAACAATAAATAACATTCGATGTAAAAAATAAATGGAGGAAATCAGAAGGTATGAAGCAAAAGCCCCTGAAATTCTAAACTCTATTTATTGTGCCTTAAGATCTTTGTTATCGATCTATTTTCAAATGAATAAACAAACAATAAATGGACATTTTGCAAGTTTTTAACTTATATTTATTATGGGTTGTTTATTAATCACTTAATCATTCCTATTAATGAAAGCCTGAGTAGATAAAACATAAAATGAAAGAGTATCAAAACCACTCCCATTATTTAGTTAACAGATTTAGTGAAGGATTAAAAGTGTGGATAAGAAATATTCTAGAATACATCCTTTTTTATACCTTATTTTGCATAGAATTTCAATAATCTTGTTAGCTTCCAAGCTTTTTTTCAGGCTTAAGGCATATATCTATATTACTCCTCACTTAATTGAACAGTTGGTAGGTGGAGTGGTGGAGTGGAAGGCAAATCTCACAGATTTCTTGCAATATACTGAATAACTCTGCAAAAACACCCAGGAGAACCTGAGTCTGGATTTTGAATTTTCTATCTAACTAAACAACAAACAATGAGGCACAAATGTTACAATGGAGCAAATGCCTTCTGTAAAAGAGGAAATGCCAAGGCTTTTGTGTTGGAAAACACAAAGATGTTTTTCCAGGAACAGGAAGCTATCATTCAATGAGTATTGAGAACAAAAAATTTATAATGTCAATCTTTACAAAGCTACTGTGAAAAATAATTTAAATCAGTTCAAGAGAAGACTGGACATCTTAGAAAATATATTTCTTTATGAAGTAACTTTCAGCTATTAAAACATCACAATTTATTGAATTTATAGAAATAACTTTATACTTCAGCTTGTAAATTAGAAACTTTTATAACAGCATATCATTTATTTTTCTTAAATTAGATATACCACAATGTGAATTATTACAAATCAGGATCGTTAAAACCTATAGTGTGTATCTGTAAAACCTAAGTAGTGTAAGTTTTTATGAAATAAAAGGAAAAAAAAGATGAACAAATGTTTGACACAAACATTTGCCAGATTATGTAATTGCATCCCATCCAACTAATTAGATAATTATTTTTTAAACTCAGGAGTACCATCATTTGGGATAAGATCTCTAGGACAATTGTTGAAGCCCTGTTCACTTAACTTTTTTATTTATAAGCATATTATAGTGAATTGGGGGTTCATTGTGACAGTTACAAAGGTCCTTGCAAAATATCTTAGTCAAATCCACCCGTTCCATCATTCCCCTTTATTCCTCCTCCTCCTATTTTTAGAACAGTTTCAATAGGTCTCGTTGTTCCATTTTCTACATGAGTACATAAGACTTCCACCATATTTATCCTCCTTCACCCTTTCCTTAAATCCACCTCACTGTTACCAACCTCCACACAGCACTTCTTTTATCTTCTTGTCCCTCATTTTTTAAATCAGACATTTTTGTTTTTTACAATACTTATACAGGAGTTTCATGGTGACACTTCCATATACATATGTATTATACCCCAAATTGATTCATCGCCTCACCCCCATTATTCTTATTTCTACCTTAGTCCCCTTTTTATGGTGATTTCAATTGTCATTTTGTGACTTGAGGCCGGGAAAGAAAATTTTAGCATGGCAAAATCTAGCGAAGCCAGCACGAACCATTGAGTTGCAAGATACCTCTTTTTCACAGACATATATGAATATTTACATGCATATTACAAATAAAGTATATGATCTGGTAAACACTATAATCACATCGTTGTGTATGCTGTTCAATGGTGATGTTCAAATGATTAATTTCCAGCATAGTACAAGGGCAATCGAACAAGCCTTCAACCCCTAATCTATTCTCATGATCTCCGACTGATCAACAGGCTCAAATGTATTAAAGAAGAAAATGGCTCCTACTATTTTACATGAGGGACATGTATGCACATGTGTATGTACACATATGAGTGTACATGTACTGTTCATTCATTAGGATTCTATAAATATACAATTTAAAAAGACTTCTTATTCCATAGGTTTGCACTAGAGAGTGTGGCTGTTACAGTGGAGTATATTTTGGGGAAATTCACCACACAAAATAACAACATAACAGGGTATTATTTAACATTCACCAGGAGAAAATATTTTAGCCTTGTCACTTTGCAATTGTACTTTCACATAATGATTTATAAAATATTTAGTTTATCAGGTCGCTGAAAATATTGGTGAGTTTTCAGGCCCAAAGTTCATTTTAGTAGCTTATTTTTATTGACCATCTTACAGAATGATAGATCGACCTCAATATTTTGATCAAAATGTTACATATAATAGCCTTTTTCAACTCCCATTAAAATTTGAGGTAATTATCTTCCTCTTTTACGGCAGATAAACTGGTAGCCTCTGCAATTTACTCTCCTAATCGCTAAATGATGAAGGAGCATCTCAATTACATATGATTCCCAAGAATGTCCTAATTCCCTGCTGCATTCATTATTCCTTATCAATTTCTAATAAGAACAACCATAGTCGCTTTCATTTAGTGTTTTCTGAATTAAATGCACTAAAACCTACACCAAAGTTTCATATCTTTCCATTATGACCATTGAAAGACAATAATGTTTAAAAAGTGATTTCAGAGACTAACTCAAATGTAGAATGTAAATCTGTTCATGTTGAATGGCTTTCTTAGAACCAGACAGCTACCTCTGGAAGCATGTTAGCTAATTTCCCTGTCACTGCTTCTTAAGCCTCTTCTCTGATTCTTCTCATTTCATTCTGAGGCTATTGTTACATCCATGTTCACATGTCATTGAAATTGTATGGTGGTCATATACTGATTTAAGAGGAAAAATGATACCTGTGAAATTTATTCCAGAAATGGGGGAGGGGCATAAAGGAGAAAGATGGTAGGGTGAATTCGCCTGTGATACATTTGATATATTGTAAGAACCTTTGTAAATGCTACAATGTGCCCCCACCCAGCACAACAAAAAATAAATTAGTAAAAAAGAGGACTTCAAAAGATGATTAAAGTATCAAAAAGGATTTAAAGAATATAGTTTCATTGTGCCAAAATATCCTAAAAAGACCTTTTTAAACAAATCAATTTCCTCTTGAAACACTAAAATCAGAATGCTCTTAAATTGTAATTATAACTTTATGTTTGGAGATAAAAAAAAATACAGAGAACATAAAAACATTTGATAACATGGCTAAAGTAGTAGAGCACCTACCTAGCAAGCATGAGGCCTAAAGTTCAAACCCCAGTACCACTGATCCAAAAAGGAGGCCCAGATGACATAAAAACAATGAATAAAAGGTGAACGTATCTTAGTTCCCTTCAGGAAAACTGAGTAAGCCATCAAAGTGAATTTAAGGAAGAAACATGAGATTTAATAAAAGTAAATATATAAGTTTAATACAAATTTTATTAAATTTTATTAAATCAATGTAATTTGTCATTTGAGGTGAAAGTATCAATTTTAATAGTTTAAAATTTAAATTTCTCTATTATAGAACATTCTGTTAAAACAAAGAAAAATGCAAATTAAAACATTTTTATTATAAAATAGGTTTAATTATGAGATTTCAAAAGATGCTTTTAATGTATTTCAATCTTATTCACCCATTACCCTGCTTTTATCAATGTTGTAAGTAGTGATCATTTGAAACAAAAATATCAACATTTTTTATTTTAATTTAAATTTTGGCATATGTTATAGAATATTTGATTAAAGCAATAAAGATAAATGCAGAAGAAAAAATAAAAATATATGAAAGGTGAACCATATGTTCTGAATATGTTCACTTTACGGATAACTTAAATCTTAGAAGTTAATTATTTTTTCAGAACTAGGTCATTAAGACTGTTATCAAGCATAAGAATTACCAAATTCATGTTATTTTGTTTCTGACACTATGAGTTTTCTCAGTATAAAAAAAAGAAAAACAACTTTTAATTAAAGAAATTTGATATTGCCATTGTTCCTGTCTTCAGACTGAAAAGTTACCGGGTGAGGAGTGAAATTTCAAAGCGAAATGTAGTTTGATATACATTTTCAGAAACCCGCAAAATTTATGTTGATTTTAATTTCTTTTTCATTTTAAGAGATAACTGTAGAAAGAGCTTTCGTGATTGTTTTTATCTATTTCTGTGTTGAATTTTTTAAAACCTATTATCACTCATCCCACTTCAGATGTATTTTGGGGAAAATCTACGGAAGTGCCATTTTCTTCCTGCCCTAATATCAATACCAGAAATAACTAGTATGAACTTTTAAGCTTTAATATTAATAAAAGCAAATCATCTGTCTGGTGGGAAACAGTGAATCATAAACAATTGCTCTAAAAACGCTTTGCTGCTAGTGTTAATTACAGAGAAAAGCTTGTGACATAGCAACTACACAGTTATGGGAAAGAGATTTTCTGTTTTAACATTCGTCTTTGCAGCAAATGAAGTTCACCATGTTAGTCTCGTCTGGAATTCTTCCCCAAGGAAATACCATGCTAATATCAGTATCCAGCTAAATGAAACAAACAAACAAACAAACAAACCATTCACTCTATTTGAGTAGAAATGTGATGATACATGTATGTATATGTTAGGAAGTTATGAAAGATGTTTAATAGGAACTTTAAACACTTTTTCAGACATAAACACTTTTACTGAACATCTTACTAATTTCCCTATAGTTTATTTGTATCTTAAATGAGGTTTTTACAATTCACTTATTTAAGCAAAAGATATTCTTTAGTGATATGTTTAAACCATAACAAACATGAGCCTTCATTTCTGAATAATTCCATCTTAAAATCTTTAAAATATCTTTCCTTTGTGTGTGTGTGTGTGGTACTGGGGTTTGAACTCAAGGACTACACCTCGAGTCACTCCACCAGCCCTTTTTTGTGATGGGCTTTTTTGAGATGACTCTCATGGAACTATTTTCCTGAGTTGACTTCAAATCGCAGTCCTCCTGAGTAGCTATCTTTTCATTTTTAAATATTTTGTTTAAATATATTTGTAAATGTAACAAGATCCATTATAAAATGATAATTCCTAGTATGTTTGTATTTTCTGAAGGCTACCGTGTGTGTATGTGTGTGTGTGTGTGTGTGTGTGTGTATGAATCTGTAATAAGTCTTACAAATGTTCAATATTAATGGATTAAAAATCGCAACTTCTAACATAATTGCAACTGTCATTTGTTTGAGGTAATATAACTGTAAACAAAATTTTATCCTAACCCATAAAGTCTCTCTAGAGAAGTAGAACAAAGTTAAAACTGTCATATTTATCATTACATTAAAACAAAATGTGATGTACATCACAGGAAATCCACTAAGAAATTACCAAGGCAGAACATTAAAAAAAAAAGTCACATATTGTTTTATATAGCAAGTAGATATAACCCATTAGTTACATCTGACCAAAATACACAGTATCTCAACCTCAAATGCCAAGATTTAGCTCCATTGTCACACACAATTTATCCTAAATTCATAGCTACTTGGAGTTACCATTTGTGTTTTATAATTGGTTTATTGGAAGAAAAAGTAAACTTTTCTCATGTTTTTGGCAAAACATAGTTTAACAAATTGAAACAGTGATTTGCTGAAGTTCGTCTCCTGTCCTGTCACATGAACTGGGTTATATCAATTCTATATACACAGATGATTTCACTTCCAAAAAATAGACCGCACTACAAGAGAAAAGACAACTTGTAAAGTTAGCATGACCCTTATTTAGGTTTTAAAGATTTGCATATACTTCTAAGAGTTGGAAAACAAACTTAGCAATTTTCTAAATTAAATGTTCTAAGAAAATTGAAAGTCTTTTCCCTTATTTTCAACGGAAAAAAATTAAACCTCTTATTTTGTGTTTTCCTTTAGTAATTACAATTGAAAATGCAATGAAATAGTACAGAGAGCATTAGTAAAAATACCAAGAGAAATAAACGAACCCTAGGGTACAATTGACAGTGTCTGGAGATAGTTTTGATGTCACAACGGGATTGAGGTATGCTGTCAGAGTTTAGTGAAGCCAGGACAGTGAGCTCAGGACCATACCATCCATAGATCTCCTTCCTACAGCAAAGAGATATGTAATCCAAAACATGAACTAGCATGAAGCTGAAAAATCATTTGATACATCACTTGAATTTTCATTTCTGTGATTTTCTATTTTATATGCCTTTTTTATATCAGTTTTAAGGATTTAAGGATTAGAAACATTAATATTTCATCTGGTGGTGTATGCAATTCCCAAGATTGTTGTTTTGACTTTCTCATACCATTTTTGCAGTTCAAAAATGTATTTAACCATAATTTTCTTCCTTTATTATTTATGGATTTCCTGGCTTTGGAAATTTTTAATATTTATATATAATTTCACCTGAGTCGACTTTTAAAAAAATTTTTTTTCCAGTACTGGGGTTTGAACTCAGGGTCTACACCTTGAAACACTCCTCCAGCTCTTTTTTGTGATGAGTTTTTTTTAGATAGTGTCTTACGAACTACTTCCCTGGGCTGACTTTGAACTGCCATGCTCCTGAGCTCTGCCTCCTGAGTAGCTAGGATTGTAGGCATGTATGATTAAGACCATCTGAGCCAGGCTAACCTGTACTTTATTTTGGTCACTTTATGTTAAAGTCTATTTATATTCTATTTCATATGCATTTTTGCTTTTAAAAGATTGATTCTAAATGTTAGTGTCTTCAGAGCACTGACTTCTGTCTTGTAGTTATTTGCACATTGGCTGTGGCCTTAAGGCAATATTTAAATCTAGGTGTTTTCTCAATGCTTCCTTCAGTGAAATAGGGGAAGATAATGATACCTATATTTATTAGGTTTAAATGAGCTAATGCAAGCACCATGAGCATTTCATAGTCTTCAGCTGGTTGTCTGTTGGCTAGCTTTTTCCTGGTTTTATTTTTTTCTTCTTTTCTTATCACTTAATGCAGCTCATAGCAGGTTAAGTTTGGGCACTTGATAAATATTGCTGGAGTTGAATTTGAAAACATAGAATAATTTTCTACATTGATAAATATGTGAATCAAATAGAAATCTTGCCTTTGCTTACCTTAAATAAAATAAAATTATGCTACATAGTTTCTAATGCACTTTGTTCATGATTTTTAAAGACATTATTAAATGGAAAGAGACACAGACTAGATAGGCAGCAACAGAACTCAAACACCAGCACAGGCAGAGGAGAAGCCCTGCAGAGGGGAGATCCCAGTCAAAGCCAGAATCCCACTGCCACTTGCAGAATTGGAGTAGGTATAGGAGAGGGGTCTGGAGATTTAGCTGGGCAGGGAGATTTTTTTCCAGGATGAGCAGATGCTAGGGAAAGCTAGAAGAAATAGATGCTCAGCCAGTTCAGTTCTCATGGGTAAGGTGAGAGTTTGTCATTCCTTGAGGCTAAGTTTGGTCCTTTCAGTAAGTGGTAGAGTGTTTCCAGTAAGCTGACTGCAAAGGTGGAGGTTTGATCCTAACATAGCTTCCCTTTTGTTCACCCTGTTATATATTAAATATTTTTTCATTCTGAATATTCAATTTGCAGACAATATACAACAGATCTCTTCAGTCCCTGTGTCCGTACAAGTTCTTAACATTAACGATCACGCTCCTGAATTGTCTCAGTTCTATGAGACCTATGTTTGTGAGAATGCAGTCTCTGGTCAGGTGAGAAATCTTACTAAGCTACAAAACTCTAGCAATGCTTCCTAGCTTCATATATTTGAATTTATAATCTAAACATGATACATACTATGCAAATATGACATATATTTCATGTGATAGTAATTATATTATATAAAATTAAACACATTGTGCTTTAATTCATATATTAGATGTGAATTAACATGTGATGTGCTATATATAATTTTGGTTTGATATTCATCCCATTTTAAAATGTTCAAAAACATTCTTCACAATTTTATTTGTAAAACATGGAATTTAGCTTCTCCTTTTCATATTTCTTAGCTTCAATCTACAATACACAGAAACTGTGCATATTTCTTCAGAGTCTCCGTGGAGTATAGAAGGCTACTAAAGAGCACAGGCTATTTTGTTTTTATTGTTGTGCTGGGTGGGGCATGTTGTGGCATTTGTAAAAGTTCTTACAGTGTATCAGGTATACCATACTTGAATTCACCCCCTCAATCATCCTTTATCTCCCTTCCCCCCATTCATGGAATAGTTTCAGCAGGTATCATTTTCCATTTACATACATGTGTCTGCAGATTTTGTACTATATTCACCCTCCCAGGCCCTTTCTGCCCTTCTCCTGGTATCAGTGCTCCCAGACAGGACCTGTTCCACATGCCTGTTCTGTGATTTTGTAAAAGGAAAAAAAAAAGGACATTTTTGGTTGTTTAAGTAGCTACACAGGGAGTCTCCTTTTGACTTTCTATGTGTACATGTATTATAACCCAAATTGGTTCATCCCCTCTATTTCTCTCCTTTCTACATTAGTCCCTTCCTTATGTAGATTTTGATAGTTTAAAAATTCTATATTCATTCTTTTCCAGGAAGTACATCAACCATATTCACCTTCTTAACTTCCTTCTTTTACCCTCCCTCTGTAGTGTGGGATCTCTTCTTAGTGTGACCTGTTTTTTATAATATTGCTCTTATTTGTATTAGATCTATATTCCAAATATGAGAGAAAATTTGTGGCTCTTGTCTTTCTGAGCCTGGCTAACTTCACTTAAGATGATGTTCTCCAGTTCCATCCATTTACCTGCAAATGACAAAATTTCATTCTTTTTTGTAGTCGAATAAAATTCTATTGTATATAAATACCACATTTTCTTAATCCATTTGTCAGTAGTAGAGGGCATCTTGCCTGTTTCATAGCTTAGCTACTGTGGATAATGCTGCAATAAACATGAGTGCAGGTGTCTTTATTATAATTTGACTTACATTCCTTCTGCTATATCCCTAGGAGTGGAATTCATGGAGCATTTGGCAGTTCTATTTTTAGCTTTTTGAGGCACCTCCATACTGTTTTCCACAGAAGTTGTACTAATTTACATTTCCACCAACAGTGTATGAGGGTTCTTTTTTTCCACATCCTTGCCAACATTTGTTGTTGTATTCTTGATGATACCTATTCTAATAGAGTGAGGTGGAATCTTAACATGGTTTTGATTTGCATTTCTTTATGGATAAGGATGTTGAGCATTTCTTGATTAATTGTACAAAATAATGGGTTTCATTATAACATGTTCATATTTACAAGCTATATATTTGATCTTTAAGCACATTTACCTCCTACACACCCATTCTTGTCCCCCTCTCCACTCACACTGCCACCAACCTGCCCCAATAGTCTTCTTTTTGCTATCATGTCTTTTTTTCTGTTGTTTGAAATCTGAATTCTGCATATGAGAGAAAGCACATGATATTTTTACCTTTCCAAGTCGGGTTTATTTTGTTTGAAAGCTTTGTTTTCATTTCTATTCATTTTCTTACAAATAACATAATTTTGTCCTCTTTATGACTGAGTAATACTCCACTGTGTGTATTTATACATATTTTGTATGCATCATACAAGATGTATTCATACATCTCTTGATGCGCACTTAAGCTGGCTACGTAAATTTTCTATTATCATAGTGCAATTAAAAAATGTGCTTTGCCTGGTATCTCTATTATGTGCTGACTTTGATTCCTTTGTTTATATACTCAAGATGGTAACCGTCATCCCTTCATGTTACACTTTCTGAGCTGGTGTAATATATTATGAAGTTATGACCAGGGTTAAACTCTGCTAAAGAAAATGCCCTGTAGATTCAATCACATTGTTCTCTTGTGCTCTGCTAAAAGTTGAAATGTAAGGTATATGAAAAATTCTATGAAGTAATATACTTTTTATAACTTATATATATACAATGCTTCAAAATGTTTGAGTCACTTATGATACTGGGTCTGGGTGGCTAGGAAGGATGCAGAATCAGGGAGGTGTCATCCAGACCTGCTCAAATCACAGGGATTAAGCTGTGCTTTAGGATTTCCATTTGCTAGACATGTCTTTCATTCTTTTTGTCCCTCCTCTTATCCATGGAGCCTTGGAACTTGTCAGTATCTCGAAGAGAAAGGACACGGATAGACCTGGTATGCAGATCACTCTGTTTTTGTAACTTAATATCTAAAAGGACATGGGAGGGGGTGACTAGTTCTTCTGTCTCACTCTTTAGACAGTTAATTTTTAGAGAGTGTCTCACACTTTTTCCCCAGGGCCAATCTTGGGCCTTGATTTTTCTACTTCTGTTCTCACATAGTTGACATTACAGGCATAACCCACCACTCTTGGCTTATTTCCTGAGATGTAATCTCACTAATACTCTGCCAAGGCTGGCCTCTAACTGAAATCCTGATCTCTATCTTCATATCTTGACAAAGTGTAAGGCAGAAAATTATTATATTGCTATTTCTGGAGAATGCATTATATTTATAAAAGTTACCAATAGATTCATATAGTAATTAAAAATAGAATTCATTTTTTAATTTAAAATACATTAATATTCATTTATTCTTTGAGACACATCTAACAATTTAAAAATATTGAAATACCAATCTCTACAAATAGGGAGAACTGTTGAAAAGGAATCTCAGATACTTGTGTTTGGTATAATGTATTCTGAAGTTATGACCGAGGTTAAACTCTGCTAAGGAAAGTGCCCTGTAGATTCAATCACATTGTTCTCTTGTGCTCTGCTAAAAGTTGAAAAATTCCATGAAGTAATATACTTTTTAAAACTTACATATATACAATGTTTCAAAATTTTTGAGTCACTTTCTCAGCATCATAGTTTATAATTGATTGAATCAGTATTATAATTTATATTTTCCCCAAGAACGATGCTAATTTTAATTGCATATGGTATGCTAATCATAAGGACTAGCTATCCTGAGATTATTTACATAAATTAAAATTAAATTTGAAAAACAGGTTTTAATCTCCCCATTTTCATGCTGAATTATATTTATGATTATAAATACAAAAGTGAAGTCACCTTGATTGAGTCTCAGATCCTTCCTTGAATATACACTTCTCAAGCTCAGAAGGACACAAACTCAGCCTTATTTCACAGGCAGTTTTCTTTAAGGAAGAAGGATGAAATCACCAAATAATTCTTTAGGAAACCTGGAAATGGGACTATGAAATTCTAGAACTTTGTCTCAGTCCTGTCAGCATTAAGAGTAATGATACATTTCTACTAAATAGTGTTTCATCATTCAAACCCAAGGGAAACAAACAAAAATCCTCTTCAACATACACTAGGGTTTGTGACTTGAAATCTTTGGAGAAATGAGCTGAGTGCTAGTTACATACACAGCATTATCATAAATGCTTTCTTCTTTCTTTATATTTTCTTAATTGTGCTAAATAGGGGCCCATTCTGTCATTTACAAAAGTTTTCACAATAGAGCAAATATATCATACTGGAATTCACCTCCTCTATCATTTCTCCTTTGTCCCCCACCCCTATTCTTGGAATGATATCATTTTTCCATTCACATACATGTGGACACAGTATTTGCACTATTTTCACCCTCCTGTGTCCTTTCCCCACCTCCTTCCCCTTCCACTGGTAACAATGTCCCCAGGCAGGATGTTTTCTGCCCTTCTGTTCTCCAATTTTATGAAAAGAAGAAAAAAGTGACATTTGTGTTTAATATAGCTACACAGAAAGGTTCCTTGTTACAGTTCCATGTATATATAAGGACTTTCTTTTTTATGCATTTGTATGAAGAAGTAAAACACTTGCTTTAATTATCAAGTCACCTTATTGAATAATCTAAGGATAAGGACTGTGAGGTACACTAAATTGTTATTATTTGTGTCACATGTGGTTTATCTGATAATTGTAGAGTCAGACTGACTATTTCAGATTTCAAATTTTATGGGTAGATTTTGTAGGTAGATTTTCCTCAAGAACAATGAAAACCAAACATCACAACATACCCCCAAACATGTCATTAAAGACTCAAATGCCATTAGCATTACTCACTACTAAAAATGCGATACTGGTATGTGAAAACTAAGACATCGAGTAGATTCCCAGAAATATTTGCTTTAAATGTAATAAAACTCATATAACTGAAATTGTCATTATGCAGAAACTATAATTATTTTAACTTATAAAATTACTGAAAAGAGTACTAAATTCATTTGACTAACTTTTCAATAGTCTTAGTAAGAAAACTACATAACGCTCAGCAAAATATTGTTAAGGGCGTTCTACTTTGAATTTTCCAGGAGAGATGTTAAAAAATAAGGAACATAGTCAATCAATTAAATAAGGAAATGACTGTCATCAATTAAATAAAAACCTAGGACCAAGCAGACAGTGTGGGTGTCAGAAACAAAGGGGAAACCACTTTTGGTTTCTAGTATAAGAAAGAGAAAGGAAGAATCATCTTTGATATAAACTATCAGTTTAAGAGTCCCAGAAGTGAAAACAGTGGGCTAGAGTAAACATAGAGGACATATAATTTGGAGAATGTTGGAATAAGAAATGTAGACCTTTTGAATGCCAAAAATGGAAGGGAGAGTTGGTGCCCAGGATGATAGACTTGGTGTGAATTGTTAAGGTGAAGAATCCCAAAGTCAACTTCATTCTTTCCTATTCTCTGCACTATTCTTTATTTTTAATATTTTAAATAGTTTAAAA